ATTGGCAAAGCTAATAACTAGCGTTGACCAAAGTTCAGAAAAATGAGAGCTTTCACACAGTGTAGTTGAAGTTTATTGATGCTACATTTCTTGAAGACAATTAGACAATATGTATTAATAGCCTTTCCATTTCAAATACAGCTGGACCCAGGAATCTTAACTCTATTTATTCACTCTGAGAAAATAATCAGGGATCTGGGAAAAGGATATATGCAAGATGTTTGCTGTGTTGTCGCTTATATTAACACAAAAATTGAAAACAGTCTAAAGGTATATTAATAAAAGCTCATTGACTAAATTATGATACACAGGTATGGTATACCTCAAATATAGTGAGGGTTTGATTCCAGACCACCACAATAAAAAAAGAACTGCAATAAAGTAAATTACACAGTTTTTTTTGGTTTCCCAGTATGTATGAAAATTATGTTTACAGTATACTGTAGTCTATTAAGGGTGCAATAGCATTATGTCTAAAGAAGCATTGCATATACCTTAATTAAAAAATACTTTATTGCTAAAAAATGCCAGCCATTATCTGAGCCTTCAGTGAGTTGTAATCTTTTTGCAATAGTGACATCAAAGATCACTGATCACAGATCAACACAGCAAATATAATAATAATGAAAAAGCTAGAAATACTGCAAGAATTACCAAAATGTGACACATACAAAGTGAGCAGATGTGGTTGGAAAAGCGGGGCCAATAGAATTGCTCGATGCAGAGTTGCCACAAACTTTCAATTTATGAAAAAACATAATATCTGCGAAGTGCACTAAAGTGAAGGACAATCAAACAAGGTATGCCTGTAATCTCTACAACTGAAATTTCTTCAGGTATTAAAACTGATGTAGTAGAAGAATGTGTAATTATTATACATGATTATGATGTTCATGACATATTAAGTAAAAATAATAGATTATAAAACAACATCCTATATGATCACATTTTTGGAAAACTGTACACAGAGGACAAACCAAAAAGATGCACATAAAATGTAAACAGTGGTCGTCTCTGGGTAGTAGGACTACTCTTGACTTTGTTTTTGTTTTGTGTGTGTATGTCAGATTCATATTTTCCAAATTTTCTACTGTTACAAAATGTTATGAAAGAAGAAAGGAAAATAATACTTAAAAAATATGTCTTGCTGGCCAGATGATCAACTCCTTGAAGTCAGGGATTGTGAACAAATCTTTCTTTTTAAAATCTTCAACACCATTGACTTTTGTGTCTGGCAAACAGAAAGAAATCAATTGACATTTCTCAAAATGAAGTCACAATGCTTCAAACAAAAGCTACAGGGCTAAATAAAATAGGATGTTTATTATAAAGGTTTCCCCAATGTGAATTCTTAATAGAACATTGTCAAGTTGCTTCATTTCCCTCTTAAGTCACAATTTATTACAGTTAATGGTATTCCACTGCTTTTAATACATCTAGTCTATTAATTCTCTCTCCAACAAATGGGTTGATCTACATATACAAATAGTTTTCAGAGATTGCATTCTCTTTTATATGAGTATTACTATATTCTTAATAAAGAAACATATAAATCTACTTGTAATCCAAAAATACAGGCTAACATTGAGTTTAGATGCATCTAAACTCAAATTTTGTAGGTGAATGGCAAACATTTCCAAGGATTATGGGACACTATAGTTACTAAGTGGAAACACTTAACTAATGAAAAAAAATTATAAAGGTATCAGATGTTCAAACTTGCCTTTTCCTTCAGATTAATAGATAGATTTATTTATACAATACAGCTGAAACAGGGACCTATAAGACATGTTTAGTCTCCTTGACTATTCCCCAAAGATCACCAGAAATGAATAACCTAATTGGATGTTTTGACAGGCCCTGCATTGATTATGAGAGTGATTTTTGTACATGATATTCTTAAATAGTAACCTATATAATTTATGTGACTATAAATAATATTGTTTTATTTTAAAGTTATCCAAAAAACTGTCCAACAATGTAAGAATACAGAATATGATGAGTCTTATGAGGGTACTTAAAAGTCCTCTTCTATCACATGAATGCCCCAAAAGTTTTGATTAGACAAACTGGGTTCAAGAATATCTATGATAATAAAAAAGAACTAATAATAATAATTTAAATATCCTGTGGAAAATACTCCACTCTAACAGTTGATTTAAATGTCTAACATATAAAGATTCTCTGATACAAGTATAAATGGAAGAATTAAGGAATTGGGTATTTATAAGATTAAATGAGTATTTTGACTTAAAATGTCTTTTAATTTGTGTTAGTTCTCCAATTTTTTTTATGCTGCCAAAATCCTAACCTCTTTTGATTAAAAAGATGCTAATCCTATGGTTCAAGAAACTTTACTAATTAATAATAATAAAACATGAGACGTGTCCTGTGAGTCCCACAAAAGTACTGAGCAGTGCTGACTTCATTCTTTTCTGCATGATTCTCCTTTTCCTTTTTTTGTAGCTATCAGGGCTTCCTGTTCTGTTGCCCGAGGAAACATAATGCAAAATTCAGACTCCAATCTTACTTTGTCAGCAAACAATGCCCAAGGCTTAACTTAGCGCTAGTTTGTTGTTGTTGTTTATTTCTGTCAAAATGAGCTCCTCTGAAATTATTTTCATCAAGAATTTTCATCTCGTATTTTACCATCTGAGTTTGAATGATGATTTTCTTGAACTATTAAGACAGTTTTTTTTTTTTTAATTTCCATTGTTTTCTACTAAGGATTGTATACAACTTCAGGAAACATGGATTTATAAAAATATTTCAACAAATTTATGACATACTCAAAATGAGATCACTGGTATTTCACCAAGGAATATAATTGAATTTTAAGGCAAAGTTAAAAATGACAGAGCTAAAAATGGCTATCCTGAGAACCCAGGATAATTCCCATATTTCTATGTGACACCCTTTCTTAAGTGAATATAAAAACCCCATTGTAAACATGTGTGATGAACCCTGCCTTTATGTTTGGAGTGATGGTGAAAATGCAAAGGCATGGCATCAAGAATGCTTTTTTCCACTTGTGTGATCAAATTTTCAGTATGTAATTATAAATAATCTTTACTCTTGCCTTTATTAGGTGTTAATTGCTGCATAACAAATAACACCCCAAACTTGACTTAAAGTTTATTATCTCACAGATTTTGTGGGTCAGGAAATCAATCAAGGAGTGGTTTATCTAGATCCACTGTTTTAGGGTGTCTCATGAGGCTGCAATGATACAGAGGCTAAACTCATCTTGATGCCTATTAGGGAGGAACTGCTTCCAAATTCACTCTTGTGTTTGTTGGTAGGATTCAGTTCCTTGTGGGCTGCTGGCTGGAGCCTCCCTCAGTCCCTTGCCACGTGGGCCTCTCCTGAGGGTAGCTCCCAACCTGGCAGCTTGTTTCTGTCACAGTGAGCGAATGACAGATAAGGAGAGAAGCCTGTGTTTTGACAACCCAATATCGGAAGTGACAGCCCATCACTTCTGCTGTATTCTACTCATTAAGAGCTAGTCATTTGGTCCTAGCCACACCCGAAGTGTGTATGCCAAGAGGCAGGACCATCTTTGAGGCTGCCCATCCCATGCAAGATATATTCACACCCTTCCCAGATCCCCCAAATTCTCATGGCGTTACAACATCAGCTCAAAGTCCAGAATCTCGTTACTGAAGTCAGGTCAGGGTGGGTGAGGCTCCCTGTGTGTGATTCTTTAGGTGCAGCTCCTGGAGCACAGTTCCTCTCCACCTGTAGACTCACGAAGACAAGTTATGTCCCAATATACAGTGATAGGTCAGGCACAGGGATAACTGCCCTAAGACACTCCTGTTCATCAAGTGAGAACTGGAAAACTCAAGTCACTACATCCAGCCCACACTCAACAGAGGGGATTAGACAAGGGTCTGAAAACTAGGAGGCAGGGGGTAACTGGGGGCCATCTCAGAGGCTGCCTACCACTCTGCCAGACTGACCCTAATAATAAAAGACATGAAATTTTAGAGAAATATTTTATGAAGCTTGTAGTGTAGCTGATTTTTCAATATATATTGCACTGCTGTGTTTGTACTGCGATTTCTTCTTTGGGTCAGGATAAAAATTCTTTTAGATTACAAGAATACCGGAGGAAATTGCTTAAACATTATATCTCCCTCTATCACGGCCATAGATCTGATCATTGACTCTTTGGTTGTTTAATTTTCCCAAACTGTTCAAGATGTTTTCCTAAAGTTTAATATAACATGCTACAGCTCCATACTGATTCTTCTAGCTACATTCTGTATTTCTTCTTCAATTTATCAATACATCTTGCATTTGCATAAAATTCAAATTATATTCCTTGATATGACATGTCTTTACTTTGAATATGAGAGCTGTGCCAGTTTCTTTTTGGCACTCTTGACTAAATTAGAGAAATAGTTTTTCCACTTTTCTCTATGCTGCTTAGTTACTATATAAATCTATATTTTTCCTTGATTACACATTTCATCAAAATAACAAAAATGAAGAACTGTGATACAAACTAGCAATTGTAGGTAGACCAGCTCCTACATCAATTACCCAACCAGTGAATGACATAGTCTCAGTTAAAGAACCCAGAAATTTTACTGAATGTGTAGTTTGAATACTTCTTTTGAATGAGCAGTATGTACTAGATGCTTTGTGATACTTTGGAATCTAGTTTTAAACATATGTAATTACTACGAACTAAAAAATATCTGTAATAAGTATATCCGAACAAGAACATAAGGTTTAAAAAAAAATTCTGTTGTGCTCTCAGAATGACGTCTGAGATGTCAGAATGAGAACAGAAATTTAGAACAATGTACAGTAGTATCTGTGGAAACTGCTAGATAATTACCATATCTTTAACAATGCTTCATATTTTTATTATTCTGTGGTATAATAATGTGGTATTCAAGAATCAATTCTTTTTTCCTTAAATAAGTGAATCTATAAATTTATGAATCATCAATCCCAATATGCAGAACAGGTCTTTGAGAGACAACACATACACTCGATATTTTTCTTTATTGACATGTCACTAGTTTTTCTTTTTGTAATATAAACATGCTATTCTCTTACATCAGTTTTTATCTTCAATGACATATGAAAGATCCAAAATCAAATTGGCAGTCTCCACAGCCACCTGCAGGCCACTAAGCTTTGCAGTAAAACAGTCCAAGGTCAGGTTGCCGGCTGAGTCCGTGGCTTCACACGGAAGGCAGGTTTGAGGCACAAAAGGAAGACGAGCACTCCTTAAGAAGGACCAGCTAAGTTCTTCCTGGCTGCTGTAAAGTCCACAGCCACATCTTGAAAGCAAATCTGGCCAGTTCACAACAGAGGGAGAATCAGCCTGAACTGACCAAAAGTGTCCATACTTCCCATCAGTGAGAATTTCACCTCCGTCGTGTTCTAAAGAGCCAGCGAGAGATTCGAGTGCGCTGCAGAATGCTTCAGCGATCAGCTGGAGTTCTGTCTGGGTACATCCGTCATCTCTAAGAATGCCTTCTGGCTCGCTACGCGTCTAAAGAGCAACAAAACCATTGAAAACACAGAACAGAGCAATTAATATGACAAAAATGTTTCTGAAAAATACTTGATCAGACCCTTATTCATAGGGGTTTGGCACAAGGCTAAAGGGCATGGATGGGCCAGCTGGTCAGGCTAATCCCTTAACCTGGTTGTTGTAGTTAAAATGCTCGCTACCAGTCATGTTATCAGAATGAACGACTCAGAATAAACCCCACCATCAACTTATTCTGAAGGACTGCCCAGTACTGCCTCCTTAATACATGAAGGACAAGGTATAATATGTGAATCACAGGCTTCTGTACATCCGGGAGGAACCTCTGGAAGACTAATGTCCCAGATGAAGTACTTATTTATGCTTGGCAAATGTTTGAGATTTGTTTAAAATGCGAATACATGTATTATTATTAAGACAAAAACCATTTAAGCACGTGTCATTTTCACATTAATGTTTAAAGAATAACTATTCTTCTCTTTAAATTAATGACAAGGTTATACAACTTTGCTTCTTTTCCACCAATCTAAAAAGTTTATCCTAGAAATTTCATGATAGAAAAAGTAATATATTAGCAAACTCATACTTGAATGATAGTTAAAAACCCATATCCTAACTACTTAAAAACAGTGACCACTTTTTTCTTTTTCCCAGGAGGTTGGAACCAGATGAGATCATCTCTATGGCATATTCTTTCCCCATATTTTCAGTGCTATACTCTTTCTTTAAAATGCTACTCAAAACACCTTCCTTCTCCAAAAGACTTATTCTAGTTTACTCAGTCCCATTTGCAGACCATGTTATTGCCCATTCAGCATCAACAGATTGGCAATGGTTTTGTTTTTCATAATGTAAATTCCAATAACTTTTCATGAATGGGCTTTATCCTCAAACAGATTTTAAATTATTTGGGGAAGCAGGGCAAGGCATGTTTATGAAAAACGTTTACACCCAATCCCAGGCATCCCAGGGAGCTCTGCACTCCTGACTAACCAAAGAGCCAACTGCAAATACCTGGAAAACACATACATTTTTGTATCCATTTTCAAATAGAGTAGGTCAGTGTTAATGAAATAATTAATAAGAACTACAATGCACTAAATTTACTGTCAGGAAATGGAGTTTCATAGATTAATAAAACAATTCTAGTTAATAGAATCAATATATCATACATGAAAACCAATTTAAAAATTATAATAGAGTCTAATAATTAGCACGCTTTAATAAATGAAATTAAGTTTTTTCTTGAAGATCCAGAAGGTACTGAAGTATTCTATAGAATCTCAACACTTTCATCGTGAATATCAATTATTACTGTACCACAGCACTTGAGATCTCTAAGATGACAGCTCCCATTAACAGAATGCTCATTTCAAGAGGCAGTAGAGACAATACTCAAAGAATGCGATCACCTGCTAAAAGGTTGGATTAATAATCATTGTGATAAAGACATTACCTTATATTTGAAAGTGTTATTTTCCTCAAGTGTTTTCAAATACAATATTTGATTTCAAGACTACTGAGAAATTAAGCATTAAAGGCTCCAGAGTATTATGATTTAGCTTATTATCTCATAAAATGAATGTTGCTGAGAATTGAGATAATTTAAGAAGGACTATCTAACCTACCTTGTGTCTGATATATGCCGCCAAATGAGTTTCAGTACAGCCACCTCCTAATAAAACACATGGTTCCTTGATTGTTAACTGCAAAGCATGCAGTGCTGTTTGACACGTGAGCTAAAAAAGAAATGAATCACCAGTATCTGACATTGACATCAGAAACACAAAGAAATATAACCACGTTTTCAAGGCAACTTAGAGAGTGGTCTCAAAGAGCCTGATTTTAATTGCAGAAGAACAAAACTGGTGTCACTAAGGTTGTCATGTGATGAATACATTTTGGAATAATAAAGATGAAATAATATAGAGATGAAAGAAAATACTTTAGCCAGATGTTTGTTTTCATGGTCTGGATTAACATCCTCTTTCATATACATTTAGCTCTTCAAATTGAGACTCACAAACACAATAACTGGATCAGCAAGGCATGCAAATATTTCTACCAAAAAAATATTTCAGTCTAAATAGCTTAGCTGTATAAATGCTACAGAATTTATTTCAAGTTGCTATGGAAATGATCCAACCAAGCAGTAATAAAAACACACAGACCTTGAATATTCACCAAGGATAGATCCTTGAGCATGCATTCTTCAAGTCTGTGACCAATGCCGTAGGGCATCGCTTCCATTGTATAAAAGCTGTATGTGTTATTGCTGTTCGTGGACAACATGCTGTTAAGAGGTGGATGATGGGTATAACTAGGGAACTTATTGCTAAGTGAATTATTCATACACATTAGCATCAACAAGTACACAATTGAACTTAATTTCTTAAGAAAAGTCCCCATCAAGGACTTTCAGATTGCTTGTAAAATACTAGAAATAATAAGAGGCAACATGCCAAGTTTCTGTAGTATCACAGGCAATTCAATCAGCTTACTTGTAATTTTAATTCTCACATTTCTGTGTTTTTGCTTTCTATACAACCTAGGGAAGTTATGAAGAAAACAAAAAGCATAGCTCACCGATGTGAAAAAAAATTATAGCACTTGTCTGAGTGATTATTTAATCCCTGCCTCAGCCCCTAGACGTGGAATTCAAAGTTTATTACTTACCTTCAGTTCATCCCAGGCTGTGTCATTTCTGTTGCAGAGAAGCAAGCTGCAGACAGTTGTTTCATTAGGAATAAGATGAAAAAAATGTTTGAAGCCAAATTTTGCAGTGCACAGCTCTTTCACACTTCCATAACTACTGGGAGAGATTGAGTCCAAGGAACCAATAGGCCTTGTTCCTATTTTTAAAAAAAGTTTAGAAAAAACAAAATGGATGAGTGAAGATGGAGCATACAATCATTTACAATATTTATTCCTAGCCAATATAAAAGCCCCACAAGCATATCATTTAAGATATGAAATATAGGATAAAGAAATAAGATGCATCTTCTTAAACCTATGAAATAAGTAGTATTCTGTCATTAAAATCATATGCAAATAAAGCAGAGGTTCTTTTGGTTTACAGACTTCTTTGAACATGTTAGAACCTATTTTGTACTCTCCAGAAAAAGACACACACAATTTTGCATATATTTTCAGGAAGTCCAGGAACCCTGGAAGCCCGTGCAGGGATCAGAGACCCCAAATTAACAACCCCACTAATCTGGAATGAGGATGAAGTGAGGAGACAGGTCATTTTTTAAAGGTGTTATGATTTTTACCTTAGAGCACACAAAGTAAGCTATGCAAATAGCTGTGCAGTTGAATTCTTTTGGGGCTCCATTTAGTGAACATATAGGAATTTTTTTTTTCTTTTTGCCTAACAACTGTTTGCATGTAAACAACTACCTAAATTATGCCAAAATAAAGTGTGTGACATTCTTATTTCATTTTCTTATTCTTTGATTATATTTTGCCCTCCTTCCTGTACAGGTAAAATAGTGAAATTTTACAAAACATAAATTAATAAAAATATGAATGAGAAGTTAGGATGACTCGAAGGTTTCTAAAAATCTCTAAATGTAGTAGTTATGTAAGAAATGGCACAAACCTATAAGGAGTAACAATACTAGTTTAAAGTCTTAAGATTAAAACTGTAACTCTTAGCAATGTACCTTCTTGGGCCAGTTTCCTCTTTGAAACTAATGGGATTAAAATAATTATGTCTAAAAATATGTGCAGCTCAAAAATTTTGTAAAAAACCAGAAAATAATCATGAACAATTTCACTTCTTTGAATACCCTTTCCTCTTTACTTCTGAATTCTCAAAGAATAAGGAATACTTGAGGGATCTAAAATTTAAGGAAAAAAACACAAAACTCTACATCTTGTATAATTTCAAGGGTGGAACCAACAGAGAATTTGTAAGGAGAGGATCCCCTTTCCCGCTGATTATCCTCTGATGTGCAGCAAGTCATTTAACTCTTCTGGGTGGGCTTTCCCAGAATGGGGATAATCACGTCTATTTCACAAATAAATCAAACCAAATGTTAAAAATGCTCTGTAAGCTATGACAAGCTTCATACCCACAAGTCAACCAAGCACAATAACCCCATTACTTAACCTAGATCATCAGTAAAGAGGAATTTTGTTTGAAGGGGGAGAAAGGAGGTAATGTTAACCTAGATACACCAGAGAATATGGATTAGGTCCCAAACATACTTCACCTGTTATTAGTTTACCGGAACCATCGGCCTGGTATAGTTTTTTCCTCCCTTTTCCCTTGTGTCTCAAAAAGATTCTGCTCCCGAGATCCAAGACTGCAGCCGTGGCTTCGCATAATGTTACACGTACATAATTTGGGGAAGCAGGGCAGGGCATGTCTATAAAAAACATTGACACTCTCCCCAGTCCCACTGGCAGCTCTGCAATCTCTTGATAACACTCCTTGATAACACTTGATAACACTCCAAAGAATCAACTGCACATATTTGGAAAACACATAACTTTTCATATCCATTTTCAAATAAAATAGGTCAGTTCATGTTCTACCATGTTCTAGTTACAAATGGGATAAAATATCAATTGTGGGCTGGTGTGGAAACCCAGTGCCCACTTATATTGTTTCTATGGAAAAATGCTTCAGTTTAAAAACTGACTACATAATCTATAATACTCAATATTCACAACTGGAAATCATCTGGCTCATGAAAAGCCAGTAAATATTTAAGGATATAGGTCTGACCCACAATATTACCAATGAGTTCCAAAGAATGATTTCTGTTATTTCTTAACAATTTCCACTCTAATGATCATTTGACAGTCTTACAGAGGCAGGGCAATAGCCCAGAGATCTTAGGGATTCAGTACTGGCACTCATCCTTCTCCTTTTTGATGATTTATAATAAGACTAAAAATAGTCAACTTTGTTTTAACAAAATTTATTAGACTTAAACTTTTAAGTCTAATAACTTACGAATTGAAATTGATCTGAATGAAATGATTGTCTTTCTGATGGGTTGTCAATGCAGTTAAAGAGATACTGAAAAGTGACTCAAATCAGGAACTTTTCAGCCTGTCTCTTTGGCTCTAGCAGGTGACTACCAACCTTCTATTTGCTTCTTTTTGCTGAGTTTGTGAAATACGGTTAATTTCTTGCCTGTTATAATTCTGTATGTTAATAAACATATTATTGTTAATTCAACAAACATTTTAGAACCCCTACTGTGGACCAGGCTTGTTGTAAGCACTGAAAGTAAAAGATGATCCCAACTCTCAATCTCAAGGAGCCTAGCTGGAAATATTTGGGATATTGAAAGCTAGCCTGCAGGCGCGCGCGCACACACACACACACACACACACACACACACACACACACACCCCTAATTAGGAACCACCATTTAGGCAGAAGTACAGTTGTTTGTTGGAGTTAGATAAAAGTGAATATTCTAGTTGCAAAACTACCTTCTGAATACAATAAGAGCTTTGTAAAACTCAAGTAGAAGAATTTTGTTTCAAGTATGAAAGGCTTTATGTGATTATGAAAATGTCAGATTTCTCAATAATCTGTAAAATGTTTGGGGGTTAATAGTTTCAGATTATGACAGACTCTGCAGTACATTTTGGGGCTGGAAAATACCTAGAAAATAGTCCTCATCACTCAATTTTTAATAAGTGAACAATGCAGGATCTTTTTCAGAAACCACCTTTGCTGCCAGAAATGATACACACACACTGTGAGGTTGGAGGCTTCTCAAATTGTTCAAGATGTTAACAGTGACACACACCAAGACTATCTTTGCTCAAAAGAAGTGTGATTTATTAACCATAAGGGGCAAAAGCTGAGAGTGCTTTTTACCTGTCACTTTACTCAGGGGTTCCATCACAGCCACTCCAACTCTGTCTACAGCAATAACATGATGCGTTCTGAGAAGCTGCTTCAAAGATGGGTGTATAACTTTTTGGCACAAGACAAGATCTACGTGATCACTAGCTAGCTGCCTTCCCAGGTTAAGCAACTGGTCCAGGACTGCATTTTCAAGAGAAACTCCGTAACTCACCACCACATTTCCTTCTCCAGTATCAGAAAGGTCTCCGGATAAAGACACACAAAAGAGTGCCACCTTAAAGGAATCTGATTTTTTGATAGGTAATATCTTCATCAGTTGAACTTCTGATATTTCAATAAGTATTCCAGGTAACACAGTAGAATCTATAACCCTTTGATGTTTTAAAGGGACAATTATACTCTTTCCTAAAATGATGTGGTCTTGGGCGTTTTCTGGAATTATAAGCAGAAAGGCTCTCAGAATTAAAGTACTGATATGGTCGACTTCCTTTGTGGTGAGCATACAGGCAGGTTTACTTGTTAATATACTGCGCACCAAACAGAGGAGGATCTGAGTGCTACTAAAGTTGACTGGGATTCGACAACCACAGGCCTCAGATTTTAGGTAACTGGTGCAGAGGTTCAAAAGCTGCTTATTTAACTTAATGACAGTGGTGGGTGTCAAACCTATTCTCTGAACATTTTCAACTAAGTTGCAGCAAAGAATGGCTGTGAATAAGCCGCCGTCACTGAAGCAGGACACGTGATTCTGCACAGAAGTTGTCAGTATCTTTAAAATGGGATGGGTGACTGGCAGGTTGGCGAGGAGGGCTGCCGACTGGGAGGTTGTGCACACAGAGCCCCCCAGGCCGTTGTGCAGCTGCTTCAGCCTGCCTGCTGGGCCATAGCAGGATGTGACGATGCCTTTCAAGACAGAGAGGGTGGCCCTCACTCGTTCGCTTGTCAGTGGTTCACTTCTACAGAATGAGGGCTTTTTAGCTTCTAAACGAGACATCTTACTTCAGGTGGTAATTTGTGAAGACAGCTTTTATTTTGTTAACCAGAGTTTTCTATTTATTGTATTGTGGTGGGTTTCAACATTTAACAAGATTATCCTTCAGGAATGAAAGTCCGAATATACAGCGTTGTGGCTATAAAATTGAATACTTAGCTCCATGCTTACGATACTAATCGGCACGCAATGGCGTAATGACATATTAGTAATTCCAAATATTTATTTTAGTTCATTATTCAAACTCTTTTGTTTGCGTTCAGGCTGAGACTTTGCAGATTGTTTTGCAGCTCTCTGTATAAAATATGTTCCGAGATGGATGCCTGTGAAGAAAATCCCAGCTACCAGAAGCCAGTTCTTTCTGATCCAATTGCTATTTTTCATTTCTTCTTTCAAACTCAAGCTCAGACTCAAAGCTGCTTCTTTCTATAAGAAATAAAAATATAAAATATTTTAGAGAAATAATTCCAAAACATTTAATAGATTGTAGTTTAGTAATTACTTTTAATGCTCTGCTCCTTCTTTAGAAAAAGGAACTATCCACTGGCACAAACCCCCAAAAATGAGAATGTAAATCAACTTAGACTGAACATTCATTTCTTTATTCTTCAATGAATCCCTGCATGGAAAAGTACTGATATTTTAATAATTTTGGAATGCACAGTAACATAGCTAGAAAGCTTACAGTACAGTTATTCAAATATGATATGCTTCTAGAAGACAAATGCCATGTGAAACGCATAGAGTTTGGTCTCTGAGTCCCAAATGTTTTTATTCTCTTACATCAAGATCTGGTGTTGTTTCTTCTCTAACTTTCGTTTGCTTGGAAACCTTAGGTGTGAATACAAGTGCATTTATATCAAATCCTGCTTATAAGTAATTATGAAAATGAGATAACTGTTGGGATTCCTAATACAGACACTCTCTAATGTTCAGTCTACATCCAGCTAGACAAATCTACACAACACATTTACCAAAGAATAAACCATGTTTTAATTTTAAATATTTGGCTAAATTCAGAGCAGTTTCCTGTAGTTTTACCCGATCAATCAATGATTTTCAGTTTTGATGTCCTATATCTAACCGTCCCCCAAATTTTGGCTAATGACAATACAAAAGCCAGGGAATGTGCTGGATGACAAGGAGAAAAATAGGATCTGATTTGCAATGTGATCTCAAAGAGGGTAAATAATATAAAATGCTATCATTTACCAAGTGTGCTAGCACTTGTACTAGTTTCCTTAATGAGGTTGGAAGAAGCGTGCCTGAGGCATAAAATTCTGATACTACAATAATATGTGGCAAGGATAAAAATCTCAGGTCATAGACCTTATCTGTTGAGCCTTGGTGCTTTGAAGGTAAAGGTTCAGCCAATTATTAGTTATGTTCAGGAATATGCTAACCATGGGGCAGTGTTTAGCACAAATAAAACCAATTGAACTACTCAGACTACAGTACTACCCAGAGCTGTCTATGGCACAATATGATACAGACCAAAAAGGTGATTTGAAGATGTGCAAAGATGTGAAGAGAACAAGGGAATGCTATGCAAAGTGTTCTTTTGGTTACCACTCCTCCCAATTTAGTTAAAGGGCTGTAACCATGGCAACTGGGCCCAAATAAAGTGAAAGCAATGATGGCCAGCTTTCTCCCTGCAATGATAAAGCTATAGTCATCTCTTTATAGCACGAGGAGGAAAAAAAGTTTCTGTTCATCTTATGCAAGGAACAACAAAGGTACTTAAATATTATTTCAAAGGTTACTTTAGATTTGGCAAAATCTGTGAAATACATTTAAATGAAAGCTTAGTGAAGTGACTTCCATACATAAATTTGCACGTTACAACACACACACACGCAAACCACAAGTCATAACAGAGACTGTGATTAATAAAGTGATTTCTCTAGTTACTTTTCAATACATAATAGTGACATGCGACTTTTCAAAAGTAGAACGCCAAATTGGCACCTCTAACAGTCTTGTGGTAGTGAGGCCAGTAACCACATCTTTTGGCTAATATCTCTATAAAATGAGAAAGGAAGAGTGTTGGTGACTCCCAAATCATTTTTACGATGTCAAAACTTGCTGACTTCTGGTCCTATGTCTAGATCTAGACAAAATAAGGTACAATTGAAAAAAAAAGAAACGAAACACAGGGCTGGCTTATAGCATACGTTTGGAAGTGTCAGTTCAGCTATTTCTTTCTTCCTAACAATGTGACCCATTATTCCAAAAGTTACCATCACGTGAATGGCCCTGACTATTCCTGGATGCACTGGCCTGGCAGATGGGCTTTTTGTAGTGATGGATAACAATTAAATAATACTAAAACCTACATGACTATATTCTAAATTCAGAGCTATAAAATATGATTTAAAGAAATATAAACACGTAAAATATTTTCCTAAAAGGAATCAGAGCTCTTTGGAGAAGTGGCTGATTCTAGGTCTGAGGCAAGAAATAAACTAGATGAGCTGGGGACATTTTTTTGCCAAAAAGTAATAATGTTATTAAAGATCACTTGGATCATATCAAAGGGCACAGGAAAAACAAAAACAAAAACAAAAAACGACACAGGAGTCAACTTGGAGGGAATCTAAGATGGGACAATTTAAGCATTAAAAAGAATACTGACAGTAATAGACTGAGATAATTCAAATTTATTATAAAAACTGATAAAGGGAAATAAATCATATATCTTGCTTTTCCTGTATAAGTGCATTTTGAGGGGTAACTGAATAGTTGAGGCAAAGTTGGTCCAGCTACTAAATGGAGAAGAAACGATAGCATTTCAGCAGCATAATTTTGCAACACCTAATGAAGTAATGGACTACACCATCATAGTGGTTGGCAAATTATAGCCCATGGACCATATCCAGCCCACTGCCTGTTTTGTAAATAGTTTATTGGCTCACCCTCATGTACTGTGCATGAATGCTTTTGTGCTAGAACTGAAAGTTAAATACTAAAAGAGTTACCATTAACTTTTTCAGTGTGATAATATACTTGTGGTTGTATGTGTTTATCCTCACTGTTAAAGATACATTCCAAAACCTGAGACTTGCTTAAAAGTATTCCAGCAATAAAAAAAAAAGGGAGGGGATAGATAAAAAGAGATTGGTAAAATGTTGATAACTGTTAAAGTTGGGGGGTGGATACTACAGAGTTGAATATACTATTCCTATTTGGGGTTTGTTTGCAACTTTCCATAAAAAAAGTAAAAATTTTTAAAAATAACGGACAGATACAGCACATTCTTTTGATGTACTTCAACCACTAGAACATTATTACTCACCTGAAGGTCAAAATGGTATATTAAAATAGAAAATGTTCCACAATTGTAGGGTCACAGTTCTCCATCTGGGGCCAAATGAGTTTCATAATTTCTTGGATTTTAGAAATACAATATAGTGTATAACACCCATAATCAAAATAATATGGTGTTTAACACCCAGAATCAATATAATCATAATACAGTATAACACTCATGGTCAAATATAACAATATTTCTGCATTGAAACTAAATATTCATATTAAGTGGAATAAAGATTAAATTGCCTCATGCCAGTTAAGATCAACTACCTAAGGAGTTATGACAAAACCTTTTAGATTTTAGAACTTTCTGGATTTGGGAATTATTGATAGGGGTCTATAGACCTGAATTATATTACTATATGCTCTTATTTCAGTGACTCTGAAAAGTAACAAATTACTTTGAAGCTAAAATATTAGTCATTCTTTGGTAGCCATGGGGGATTCGTTACAGGACCCCCCCCACTCAGATACCAAAATCTGCAGATGCTCAAGTCCCTTATCTAAAATGGGGAAGTATTTGCATATAACATAGGCATATCCTCCCAGATACTTTAAGTCATCTCTAAATTACTTATAATACCTAATACAATGGAAATGCTATGTAAGTAGTTGCTTTTTGGAACTTTCTGGAATTAATTTTTTAAAATATTTTTGGTCCATGGTTCACTGAATCTGTGGATTTGGAACCTATGGGTACGGAGGGCTGACTGTAGATATTAAGGAATAAATACAATTAGTTTTATTTATCTTGGAAAAATCAGAGAACAATAATAAAGAAAAGAACCTTTTGCAAGTTACAGATCTGTAAGTGCGGCATGGATTTATGGCAGGGGAAAAACTGCTCCTTTGGACACAATTATGATCCTGGTGACACCGCTAGTGAAAAGGGCAGGACAAGTAATGGACCGACTGTCCTTTCAGGCAAGTGTCAAAGCTTTCTGTGGAACCAACTTTTCTAGAAGCAACTGTAGGATAATATTTTGCCAGTGGTTCATAATAAAAACAACAGGTTAACTCACCAACTTAGGCTTTTATTGCCAGAGCCCTATACTTTCTTAAAGATTATGTTTCCCATTGTTGGAACATGCCATTTGGTTGACCACATTAAATCAAACTCACCTGAAGCTCTCAAGTCTACTATTTCCCTGGGATGTGGTTCTTCTCAGGACTTGTGACTGCCACACTTCCTGGCTCAGGAAGGTCATCCTTATTAGGAATTTGGAAGACAGGGCTGCTTTTGATCCTGTGCCACCCCAAATGTATGAGCCCAACTAGAGGTACCATAACAACCAGAACTTTGTAGTCTCTCCAGAATTTCTGAAAGCTCATAGTGCTTCAGCATTAGTGCACCTAAGAAAAGGCCAACAGTTAAAAGAAACAAAATAAAAAAAAATCCCTCAAATTACATCTATATATACCACCACAAGCAGAATATTGCACTCCAATAAAAGCTGCCTGTTAAAAGTTTTTAGTTACAATACATTGCAATGTTAATTAACAAAAAGAGACGTTGTAGACTTAAAGGGATGGCAGGAAATCAGGCTTGGTAAGCTTATAGAGTAATACTAAACGTTTAGTCAGAAACTGTAAAGGAGCAATATTACCTGCTCGGAAAGCCACTGGAATCTTTGGAAGCACTCATGCATCAAAATCGTTTTCTGGGCTTCCCTGGTGGCGCAGTGGTTGAGAGTCCGCCTGCCGACGCAGGGGACACGGGTTCGTGCCCCGGTCCGGGAAGATCCCACATGCCGCGGAGCAGCTAGGCCCGTGAGCCATGGCCGCTGAGCCTGCGCGTCCGGAGCCTGTGCTCCGCAACGGGAGAAGCCACAACAGTGAGAGGCCCGCGTACCGCCAAAAAAAAAAAAAAAAAAAAAAAAAATCGCTTTCTTCAGCGGTCCCCAGCCTTTTTGGCAGCAGGGACCGGTTTCATGGAAGACAATTTTTCCATGGACAGGGGTGGGGGGTGCGGGGTAGATGGTTCAGGAGGTAGTGCGAGCGGTGGGGAGCGGCAGATGAAGCTTCGCTGGCTGGCCACCGCTCACCTCCTGCTGTGCGGTCCGGTTCCTAACAGGCCTGGACCAGTACTGGTCCACGGCCTGGGGGGTGGGGAT